AAGGAGCCGCCAATGTCCAACGGATGTGCCAAGTCGAATGGAGGCCCACCCAAGCAATCCCAGGAAACGACATACCAGCACGTCTTTCGAAGATCTGCAGAATCGCTCGGAGAAGCTTTGGATGTTGATGGTGTCATGTTCGTCAATGGCCTTGTCGGTTCGAAGGGATTGTGCCTCCCGTTCGCGGACCCAGACCAGGAATGCCGGGCAAATATTTCTCAAAAGCCCAGATCACGATCCGCGGATTTGGCATCGTCAAGACGGCCATCCATCAACAGCAATAGCCCGCCTCCGTTCTCAAGATTCAAGAAACGCCGTCAAAGGAGCGAGTCCCCCGGAGAAAGGATTTTTGCCAGCAAAGATTGCGAGCAAAAGGTTCTGACTAGACAGCCTGGCGAAATCCTCGGTTTTTGGTCACGAAATTCCCCAATCTCAGAAAGAGAAATTCACGATGAAACCTTGAGGCTAGATTCTTTGAGCGAAGGATTCCTCCAACTGCTTCTCGAAAGGTATCCGTGCGGCAACATCTGGTGTTTTGAACAGGACCAAGCCTTTGCCTTTTGCGGCGACGAATTGAGGGAAGCTCGTTCATGCGGCGATGCCTCACGCTTATCTCGTGCGTTTCCTGGTGCTCGGCAATTGATTTTTGCCCCCTTGATGGATCCTGTCAGCCTCAAGCTTTTGGCTGGATGCTTTGCTTGGACGACCCAACTTTCTCCCGTGTTGACCCCCGAATCTGACATTCGTCCACTCCGCAGCTTCCTACATTCTGTCGAGGCCGAAATATCTCGCATAGATACCGTTGCGACAATCAAGCAGCAGGAGGCCTTTGTCTCGGCAGTTAGCCATGAGCTCCGGACACCGCTGCACGGGATTCTTGGAGCTGTCGAGCTTTTTGGAGAAACAGAGTTGGATAGTTTCCAGCAAGGTTTGGCTGAGAGCATCCGACTGGCCGGGACGACGCTGCACGACACATTAAACAGCGTCCTTTCATACGCACAAATCAACCAATTCGAGCGCCGTAGGAATAAGCCTGAGATTCATGGCCACAGAAAACCAACATCCGAGAGTCAGATCTGCAAGATACCTGATCGAAGTAGCTATGGTCTCTTGTCTGCCACCGACATTGCAACCTTGTGTGAGGAGACTGTCGAGGTCACGGCAGGGGGGCACGTTTACAACAACCCAAATTCCATGAACGACCTTGTAGTCACTCTGGACATTCAGTGGCAGGAGAATTGGTGTTTCTTGACCGAACCTGGAGCACTGCGTCGGGTCATGTCCAACATTATTGGCAACGCGCTCAAGTATACAGACAAGGGCTTCGTCGACATCTCACTGCATGTCGAAGATGGAGAATTCTACGAACATCGATCGAGTCCTGGCCGTTCGGCACAAAAGTCTCCATCGCCCATGGTCAGCCCCAAGACGGTTTGGGACAGAAACGAGACCATCGAAAGACCTGCAAGCCCCGTCAAAGATGGTGTTAAACACGTCTTCTTTACCGTCACAGACTCGGGCAAAGGAATGTCCCGGGATTTTCTGGAAAAACACCTATTTGTCCCTTTTACACAAGAAGAGACTGGAACGACCCAAGGTGGCCAGGGTGTTGGGTTGGGCATGTCGATCGTCAAGAGTCTTGTCGCTCTTTTGGATGGCAAGATACACGTCCGTAGCCAGCCACGCAAAGGCAGTAGCATCGCCATCTCGATCCCGATGGTCGAGGGGAGTCTCGTCAACGCGGGCGCCGCCATCTCGCCCGCTGTCCATTCCATCTCCCGGCTAAGGAGTAAGCGACCAGCAGTCGCCATTCTTGGTTTTCCTCCATCGATCAAGAATTGCTTAAACAGGTATTTGCTGGATTGGTTTCAAGCAACCGTCGTGAATCCAGAAGAGGAGGCGTGTGAACCGGACATCCTCATCATCGATCAAACAGACCAGAGTGCCATCGAAGACGCCCACTTCAAGTTTGATGCGGAGAGAGTGGCTCTGCTCGGCGTGGGGCGAAGCCTTTCTTTACGGCGCACGTCTGGCGCATTCAGCCAGCAAGACTTCCCCGTACACGTTCGAAAGACGACTTGTCGTCCCATTGGCCCAAACAAGCTTGCAAAATCTCTCCTCGCATGTCTCGAGGATCCAGGCAACGGCACTTCGTCGAGCAGGTCTTCACAGTCTCAGACTAGCACCTTGTCAGCAGTCGAGCACATGGAAGTCGACCCACCGTCTCCAGTCCTCTACGACGTCCCCTCGCCAACTAAGAGACCGCGCTACTGCGAGACTTTGGCGCGGGAGAATGGAAGCAAAGCAAATCCGGCGCCCCTACTGACGCAGATACCCCATCTCAAGCAATCGTCGTCTCCGCCCGCGGTGCTCCAGCCAGACGTCCGTAAACGAGACAGCCAGCACGACTCGCCCCTTACCACGCCCACGACTGCAACAGGGCCGAGCAATGCGTTGGCAATGGTGATAGACGAGCAGCGCCGGTGCCGGCCGTCTTCGGCGCGTCCTCGTCTGTTGCTCGTGGACGACAACGACGTCAATCTCATGCTGCTGACCAAGATCATGCAGAAGCACGGCTACACCAACTACGAAGTGGCGCGCAACGGGGAGCAGGCGGTCGAAGCCTTTGAGCGAGCCCAGGCGCAGGGCGTGGCATTTGACATTGTGTTCATGGGTACGTGGATGCCTCTTGATGGCAACATTCCCGGCGACTCGACCTCTTTCTCTCTTTCCCTCTCTTCGTCCCCTTCATCCACTGCAACTCTGCCCCTTTCTCTTTAAACCTGCCGCGAGCGCAGACTCTACTTGCCCCTGATCTTTGTCCCCTCCCTCCCTCATTTTCCTTGCAGAGAATCCAAAGGCTGACGAACGGGAAACCCCCTACTTGCGCAGACATGATGATGCCGGTCCTCGACGGCTTCGCCGCCACGCGCGCCATCCGCGCCATCGAAACACGGCCATACCACCACTCGCACCCAGCACCACCAACAGCAGCGGCCCATCCTCCCTTTTCCCCTCCTACTACCACCGCCGCCGCCACTCTTCAACCAAACTACTCAAACTCGCCTACCCCTCCATCTCCCGCCACCAGCTTCACCGCCCAGCCTAAAACTGAGCCAATGGCAGATGGCACGACACGCGCTCTCATCGTGGCGCTCACGGCGCTGTCGTCACGCGCCGAGGCGGACGACGCGCGCGCGGCGGGCGCCGATGTGGTGCTCTCGAAGCCGTTTCTGCAAGGGCGCGTCGTCGAGGTTGTGGAGGGGTGGGTGCGGAGGTTTGATGGCGGTTCAGGCGGTTGAGAGAAATGGGGAGGGAAGTGAAAATGAAAGTGATGGTTGTGGTGGTGGTGGTGGTAATGGCGAGAGTGACCAAAAAGCAGGGTAAAGCCTTATGTACGATTTGGGATAGACGGACGTCGTCGAAGCTGGTGGAGACTGGGTAATGAGGCGCGGGGGGCGAAGAAAAAAAAAAAAAAGAGAAAAGAAAAAGGGGGAGAATGTTGCCGTACTTTGGTAGTTTGGTGCCTTGGATGTATCTTATTTCCTCTTTCTTTTTCTTTCTGCATGCTGTGCTGTATTGTATTGTACGATAGCCGCACCTTAGTCCTCCATGAACTTCTTCTTCCATCTTACTCATGAAAAGTTAAACATCGCGTTAGTGCAGGGCGTCGCCTTTTGTCAGAATGCTCGACTCGTTCTCTGAGCTCTGAGCAATGGGGAAATGCCACAAAGCCCTGTCTCCAACTATCCATCCCAGAGAGATCATCTTCGTACTTGTCACCCCGAACGACTCCTCTCCCCTCCCTGTCGAGTATCTTAGTATGCAGCAGAAGCGCCTAAACATGTCTCTTGCTCTTCTTCCTTACCTTGGCCAGGCAACGGTAACGATGTCCGCCATTCTTCATCTTGACTCTTGAGCTGGAGCCCCAAAGTTAAAAGCTGCTTTCCACGGCGGTCCCTCCCTTTTTTCAAGAATGCACTTTTATCTTTGTCTCTTTCCCGCTCGAATGGTAGCGCAGCTTGACTGACTCGACTCGATTTGCTTTTGTGGACGAAGGACGTGGCTACAAACCTGTCAAGTTGTCCCCCCTTTTCTCGGTTCTCCTCTCTGCGTTACCGCCGTTGCTTTCGTATTCTCACTTACCATTCTCTCGTCACTAAAAATAGGGATAAATACTCAATCCACACAATTTTGAGCCGATAAATCTCAATCCACACTGAATATTAACTACCCACACTAAACCCACAATAAATCCACACTAGTATCTTTACTAAAATACATAATCCCATATATATTACCCATACTTGTACCTACACCTGGACCTGCTCCTATACCTACACTAACTTCTTTATAGTCCTAATTAGGTAATCTCATAGTGTTAAGTTTTGCAATCCTATTATATCTAGGAGTATATTAAAGATGCAGTTAGGTCAGGTAAGCTAGTGTAGTTATAAAATACTAAGGTACAATTATAAGGTAGAGGTGGTGGAGGTGGTGGAGGTAGTAATGTAGCTAATATAAGAGTAAAAAAATTTTAATACTTAGGGTATCTATTAATCCGGGTGGCCCAATTGGGCAGTGTGGGTTTAGTGTGGGTTTTATGTGGATTGGTAATATTCAGTGTGGATTGAGATTTATTTGGCCTAAATAGTGTGGATTGAGATTTCGTCCCCTAAAAATACTTAACATGACCAAGTCGCACGACGGAATTTTGCGATAGGTTGGTCGGATCCAGCTTTGACTTGTCTATCGCTTTGCCCATTTGTCGCTTTGCTTTGTCGGTAGGTAACCACGAAAAAAAAAAAAAAAAAAAAACTCGGAAAAAACCAAAACCGAAAATTTTCGCCATCTCTCACCTCACGCGGCGCCACTCTCACACCTCACCATCACCACCTTCACCACCATGAACCCCAGAATCCCCCATCCCCCTTTCCCGGTACCCCTTCCTTAACCTCAGTGTTAAAGCCCATTTCCGCGAATCACTCTTCAACAACACCGGTGAGGTGGCCGAGTTGGTTATGGCGCCAGGTTAAGGCCTTCAGTCTTAGCACACAAGCAACTGCGCAATTCACTAAAGTGGATTACAACTGTTTCCTGGTGGGGCAACCCGCGCGAGTTCGAGTCTCGTCCTCATCATTATCTTTTTTGTATTTTGTTGGGTGTGGGAAGAGGGTTTGACGGGAGGGGGGAGGATCAGAAGGGGGTGAGGATTTTTTTTGCTCGGAGGGTCTGTGCGGTGGGCGCGGAGGGACTGCGGGCGGATTGAGTCTGTGCGTGGGTAGGGCAGGGTGGGCAGGGTCTGAGGGTTTTGAAGGAAGGAGGGATGGAGGACGTGGATGGGTGCGTGGGATGGGGATGGTGGGAGGTGGGAGGGGGAAGAGGAAGGTAAAGTGATATCAAAGACGATTTAGAACTTGAGACAGCGCCGGGGAAAGTAAACTCCAGAGAGTCAAGCCATATATAAACAAATTGAATGCTTTTGAGTCCGTCCGGCAATTACGCTAACTATGTGCATGCAATGCGAGAGATGCCTCCATAAACGCCCACCAACCCAACGACTTTTCGACAGCAATCACACCTCCAATCCCCCCGTCTACTCGTCGTCACTCTCATCCTCATCCTCCCCACCAGCCGCCTTCTTCGCCGCCTTCTCCGCCTTCTTGCGGAGCTTCTCAGCGCACTCCTCAGCGAGGGCACGCACGCGCTCCTGGCTTTTCTTGCCGCCCTCCTTCTCCTCCCACTCGGCCCACTTGCGGAAGACGAAGCGCGCGCGCTTGGCCTTCGGATTCATGCTGGCCATGCGCTCGTACAGCTTGCTGACGTTCTCCTTGGCGCCGCCCGTCTTGCCTTTCTTGACGAGCGACTTTTCGAGGTCTACAAACATGTCCCACAGGTCGAACTGGTTCGGGTACGTGTCGAGCAGCTTTTCGAAGAGGGTGCGGCCGTGCTCGGCGTCGCCGTGCGGCGAGTGGAATTCCAGGGCCGCGAACTTGGCCGTCAGGTGGCGCAAGTGTTTCTCCGGGATGGATTGGGTGGCCCGCGGGAGCAGGGCGCGCGCGCGCGCGGGCTCGTTGAGCGTGGTCATCAGGAACGTGGCGTAGTTGAGCCAGAAGGACGGGTTGGGCGTGAGCGACTTGATCTTTGTCATTTTCTGAAAGAGATCCTCGGCTTTCTGCGCAGTGGGTTAGCTCTGCCAGGTTGAATGGCCAAGGGGGGTGTGTGATCGTGCCCGGCCTTGGAGTTGACGACTTACCTGATACCGACCCGTCGACGTGTAGATGCTGAGCAGGCGGTTGTGAATCTCCTCCTTGTCGCAGTGCTGGCACGCGCGGCCAAAGACCTCATCGACCCTCTCGTCGTCGCCCTGCTCAATCTCCAGGTTGAGCAGCGCCGTCCACATGTTGAGCTTCTCCTCCTCCTCGCGCATGTGGATCGTCTTGAGCGCTCTCTCGGCAATGTCGCGCGCCTTTTGGACTTCATTGAGCCCCACCTGGAAGGCCATGTACTGCATCCAGAGGGTGCTGTTGTTGGGGTCGCCGAGCAGCAGACGCTCAAAGTCGGCGACCGACTGCGGCCCGTTGGCGTCGAGGTCACCGGTCCGGTCCTCGACGATGGTTGGCTTCTTCTTTTTCTTCTTCTTGGATGCCGATGCGTCCTCCGAGTCGGAATCGTGTTCGGCCGCGCCAATGGCCTGCTCTAGAGAGGCGCCGGTCCAGTCAAAGCCGGATGTGCTGAGTCCGTTGACAGACTTCGAGGGCTTCTCGTCCACGTCCATGGCATCCTCATCGTCCTCGCTTTCCTCATCACTGCTTTCCATGTCCTTGACCTTGGACAGGTCAATCTCGACACCCTCCATGTCGTCGTCCTCAGACTCGCTGTCCTCATCAATCTCCACACCGCCATCTTCGTCGTCGTCGTCGCTCTCTTCCTCATCATCCTTCTTAAAGTAGCTGGCCTTCAGACCAAGGCTGACCTGTTTTTGCGCAGGGTTCACCTTCAAGACGATGGCCTTGACCTTGTCACCCTCGCTGTACAGCTTCTTGCAGTCCTCGACGGGCTGGTCCGCAATTTGGCTCTTGTGGCAGAGACCGCTCACATTGTTAGAGTTGTCAAACAGAACAAACACCCCAAAGTCCATAACCTTGCGAACCTTACCGGTGACAACCATGCGAGGCTTGATATCCTCAAAATTGAGCGCCGGTACGTAGTCTTTGTCGAGCATGCTGGCCTTCAGAGTCAGCTGCAAGTGGTTGAGCGCCGGATCGACCGCAATGACCTTGCCCTTGACAAGCTGGTCAACTTCGAATGCCGACTTCCAGTCCTTGATGTAAGAGTCGGACAAGTCGCTGATGCGGACGTAGGCAGTGACAGTTGGGCTAAGGGAGACGAAAAGACCCTTGTCAGACACGTTCTTGACAAATCCACGCACGACGTCGTTGACCTTGAGTTGACGGATATTGGCGACGTGGGGGTCCTTGACCGGCAGAGAGGAGCTGAGCACCTTGGAGGGACGCAGGGTAGGGAACAATTTCTTGTTTGGCGCATCTACATCCAGAACACAGACGCGGACGATCTGGTTCTTTTTGTAGAGAGTGGGATTGGCCTGGGCAAAATCGTCGCTAAACTCAGTCAAGTCGATAGGTGCAGAGATGCTGTCAGAGAGTTGGACGATGATGTTGCGTTCGGAGACCTTGGTCACGCGACCAGGGAGAATCATGCCTGGCGAGAGATCCTTGAGGCTGCTGGGTTTGACAACCGCGTCCGAGGTGGCAGTAAGGTCGAGGCGGTTCTTTGAGACATCGACCTCCTTGACGCGCACTTTGAGAGCCGATCCAATGGGGAAGTTGGCAGCGACGTCACTGAGCAGCGACACATCGTCGGAGAGATCCATGAGGTCGATGCGGCCACGAACGACGGGCGAAATGTGTGCCCAGACGCAATTTTCGCCAATGTTGTTGATAAAGGCAATGTGAGACGAGCCAACCTTGACCTTGTCCAACGAGAGCAAGTCGTCCTGGCTTGAAAGCTTGCTGTCCGTCTTTGCAGTCATTTCAAACACGGCAGTCTTTCCACTGCGATGCGAAATAGGAAGGAACTTGTGGTTCTTGACGTCGTGGACACCGATAATCTTGACAGGCAGGGTTGGTTTGGTCTTGAATTGTGCCAGGGGGTGCTTTCGGTCCTTGATGTCCTCCCACTTGGAGAAAACTTCGGAAATGTCAATGCGACCAGAAACGTTGTCCGCAAGGCTCACGTTCAACTGAGTCTCCTTGACACTCGTGACGCGTGCCTTGGTAAGTTTGCCCAAGGTGTACTCTGAGACGTCCGTGATCGTGTCATCAGCTGGGTTGACTAGAGTCTTGTCGGTCTTGTCAGCCTTGGGAGCAGACATTGACGAAGCCGCGCTCTTTTCGTCCTTCATGGTCAGCAGGAACCTCTGTTTCGACTGATCAGAGACAAGGACACGCGACGTGATTGACTGGAAACGGCGCAGGCCGTAGTCTGGCTTTGCAGCCATTTCTTCTGGCATCTGCGTCTTCAGCAGTAGTCCCCGCAGCTGGCCAGCGAATTCGACAAAGACACGCTGACCATCAATGTTTTGCACGAAACCACTGACGGTCTGACCTTCGCGAACATCCTCAAACTTGCTCAGCAGGGATCCAGCTTTGGCAGCGGCAAGCATACTGGGCTTGTTTGTAAGCCAGACCAGGGACCTCTTTTCAGACTTGCTCAAAATGACGAGATCTTCGAGGGTCTGGCCGACGCGAATCTTCTTGACCATAGATTGCTCCTTTTTATCAGAGCCATCGGTGAGTTGGCCTACTTTGAGGATACCCTTGATCAAGGATCCCTCAAGCTCGACGTCAATCCGCTCCACAGACTTTTCAGTGACGGTAGCCTTGACGACACTTCCAACCTGAAGTGCTTGGAACGCTTCCTGCTGCTCTGGACTGTACACCGAGGGATCCTTGCATGAGACCGTCATCTTGTCGTTTTCGGCGTCGACGGAAATGGCGCGGACGTTGATGGTCTGGCCGACTCTGAAGTGCTCAGAAGGATCCTTGATGTAAGCCTCGCTCATCTCGCCGACGGGCAAAAAGGCCTTGAGGTTTCCGTAGAACTGGACAAGGGCACCTGCAGGCATCAATTTGATAATGGTACCTGGAGCCGACTCGTCGACTTCTACATCCGAGTAGGATACCCAGACAGGGGCTTCGGAATTGACCAATGTCTTCTTCAAAGTCAAACGAATCTTTTTCCTGTCCGTATCGATCGAGAGAACTCTGGCGGTGACAGCCATGCCCTCCCTAAATTTCTTCTCGGGGTTCTTGAGCTGCACGTCGGCGATCTGCGTCTCAGAAACGACACCGTTGATGCCGTCGGCCAGGGTCACAATCACAGCACCAGATCCCGTTGCAGTAATCATGACCTTCTCGACCTTGCCCTTGACAATCTGGCCAACCTTGACGTCCTCAACACGAAGGAAGGGCTGCTCCAGAATCTTGTTCTCGAGTGAGATGATGAAAAGGCCGTCGAGGGAATTGAATGCTATTACTCGAGCGCGGTGTGTAGAGTTGAGTTTGAATTTGCCACTTTCTCCAGAAATGGTGTCGACCTTGTCATCAGAGAGCCTGGAAATATGAGCAAAGCCGGGCACACCCTTGACACCAACGTCCAAAAAGACTCCGAGAGAAGGCTCCACGTGGGTGACCTTGGCTTCTTCGATGATGGTCGAGATTGGCAAAACCTCGAGGGGTTCCTTTTGCTGGTCCACGGGCTGACGAGGGGAAAGTGACATGATGTGGCCAAGCAGGGAGACACCAAGCTTGCGGCGGTCTTCACTGGGGAATGTGCAAATGATTCTTGCTTTAACCTTGGATCCGACCTTGTATTTTTGTGAAATGTCTTTCTGCGTCTCAGCTGCACCAGCGTGCACAATGTCGGCCGTGGCATCAACCAGGCCCATAATCTGACCAGCGAGACCTGAAGAGGTCGATTCGGTAACGAGGAGATCGACAGCGGTGCCGGGCTGGAAAGCGTCAATCGTGGGAGCCTGGGTCAACACATTCGCCTTTTTGATGTTGCCAATCTTTTGCGTGTCGGCAGACAGCTTGACAATCTTTCCATTGGAGCTG